GAGAATACCCTGGGCCATCTAGGTCAAGACATGGGTTCTTAAAGGTAAAGGTGGCTCAAGTGGTTAAGGCGCTGAATTGCAGGCTGTGGAAGGTTGGTAGTTCAGCAGTTCGAGACCCGAGTGTGCCGCATGATGGAGTGAGCTCCCGTCTCTGGCCCCAGCTCCTGCTAACCTAGCAGCTCGAAAGCAAGAAATTGCAAGTAGATAAATAGGGACCACTTCGGTGGGAAGGTCACAGCGTTCCGTGCGCCTTGGTGTTTAGTCATGCCGGCTATGTGACCACGGAAATGTCTTCGGACAGCGCTGGCTCTTCGACTTTGAAACGGAGATGAGCACCGCAACCCTAGAGTCGAACTCGACTGGCTTTCGAGCAAGGGGACCGTTACCTTTTTACGTGCTCAGTGGTACTGCTCGTTAACACGTTTCAGGAGTGAGTATGGGCATAGTTTCAAAGACCGTTTGGCAGGGGTGGGGTTCCCCATACATGCCCAATCTGTTACCGGTATCTGCTCAAGGAGCCGGTGGGGGCCGCACGGTGCCCCACGGTCTGTTGCAGCTTGCTCTCCTGTTTGTTTGGTGCACAAGACTCGCGAGCTCCCTGCGGTTCTGTCCCGTCCTCGGCCCCATTGTCTCGGTAGCAGAAACTTCAACTGACCCCGTTTCAAAGCCCCCAGCTCGGCACACCAACGTGGGTCTATTTTTATCGCGTTACGGCTCTCAGCAGCGGCTCTCGGCTCACTAGAAGAGCGGCACTGCTCCAGTGAACCCGGGGGGGGAGCCAAAAAGGGGGAGCCCCACACCTTCCTAGGAACTCTGGGAACTCCAGAGCAGCACTGGAGAGAGGACCCAGGAGTCCGGGCTCCTGACCTGCCTTGGGTCCTTCAGCGGAGGGGCACATTGTACCCTGTAAGGTTGCACACTAGAAGAGCCATGGACGGGAATCTTCATGCTCAGTTGTGGGAGTGAAAGGGCAGCTTTACACACCCACAGACATGCTTTTCCGAGGCGTGCCAATCCGTCAACGTATCCTGAGGTGGGGCAGCTGCCGGGGGGAGGTTGGGGGGGGCGCCGCCACCACCACCAGCCCTCCATCTCCTTCTGAGCCAGTTTGGTGTGGTGCTTAAGTGCGCGGACTCTAATCTGGGAGAACTGGGTTTGATTCCCCACTCCTCCAATGGCAGCTGCCGGATGACCTTGGGCAAGCCACAGTTCTGACAAGAGCTGTCCTTGAAAGGGCAGTTCTCAAAAGAGCTCTCTCAGCCCCGCCTTCCTCACAGGGTGTGGGGAGGGGAAGGAGTTTGTAAGCTGCTCTGAGTGAAGGGCGGGGTATAAATCCAATCTCTTCTTCTTCTCCTTCTCCTCTTCCTCCTCCTCCTTCTCCTCCTCCTTCTCCTCTTCCTCCTCCTCCTCCTCCTCCTGCTCCTCCTCCTTCTCCTCGTCTTCCCTCCACCTGCTCACGACCTGTACTCCTCCAGGCTAAACACATGCTGGGGAAGAGCATGCAGGTGGTGTGCAGCAGTTCCCCCACTGCTCGGCAGCCTCCTCCTCCTCCTTCTGCTCCTCCTCCTTCTCCCTATCTTCCCTCCACCTGCTCTCGACCTGTACTCCTCCAGGCTAAACAGATGCTGGGGAAGAACGTGCAGGTGGTGTGCAGCAATTCCCCCACTGCTCGGCATCTGTGAGCGTGGGTGATGGGAAGGCTGGCTGACCGACAGGCAGGTGGGGGATAGATGCAGGGGTGTGTGGAAAGCACCGGTGGTAGAGAGGCAGCCCCGGGGATGCTCTGCCCAGAGCGCCCCCCCCATAACATCTGGAGTGGGTCCCTGTGGCAGACCTGGTCAAAAAAAGGGGCGCTCCAGATTGTGGGGAAATGTGTGGTTTGCACCTTGGGCGCGGGACATGCTCCTCGGCCACAAGGAAGCATCGCCTTGTTCAGCCTGCTTAGAATCCTTTCCCTTGAACCTGCGTCTCTAGATTGTCGGAGTGCCGATGGCAAGAACAATGCAGCTCAGGCTGAATCCTGCCTTCCTGTGTCCTGTTTAGGACCCAGCAGCGAGTTATGAAACAGTACAGGGGTGGTGGGTGTGATCCGAGCATGCGGAGGGACCCCCCCCAAGCCGGTGTTCCCTCTAAACTGAGTTCGTGTGAGCTAGCTCACCGTTTTTTAGCCTGCGGCTCACAGATTTTTGTCTTCACTCAGGAAGGGGATGTTGTTGTTCAGTCGCACAGTCGAGTCCGACTCTTCGCGACCCCATGGACCAAATCACGCCAGGCCCTCCTGTCCTCCACCGTCCTCTGAAGCTTGCTCAATTTCATGTTCATTGCATCTATGACACTGTCTAACCATCTCATCCTTTGCCGTCCCCGTCTTCTTTGACCTTCAATCTTGGTTCCGGAGCAAACTCATTTATGCAGTAGGCAAATGGCTCGCTCACAGCTTTAAGGCCGGTAGCTCACAAAGTAGGATTTTTGCTCACAAGACTCCACAGCTTAGAGGGAGCATCGCATCCACCTTGGTCCCTGTGTTTTCTTTCTCCCCCTGCAGGAACCTGGGCAAGTCAGGGCTCCGCGTTTCGTGCCTCGGACTCGGTAAGTCCCGGGGAGAAGAGGGGCTTGGGGGGGGGGGTCTGGAAGTGTGAGAGCAGCGGCCCTCTGGGGGCCGGGTGGGATGAGTGTTTGGCACATGCTCAGAGTCACTCTTTACCAGCCAGCCTATAGTTGCTCAAGAATCCAATCCCACGGGGGGGAGGGGGGAGGTCGGTTGGTATCAGCAGGACTCCTTGGGTCTGTGTGCGAGGAGCGCAGCATGTTTGGGAAACATCTTTGTGCTTCATTTGGTGATCTTTGTGTCCCCTGCAGGTACTTGGGTGACGTTTGGATCCCAGATCTCTGATGAGGTGAGTGCAGCTTCCAGGCATAGCTGTTAAAGAGTGCCAGACTAGGATCTGGGTAAACCCAGGTTCGAATCCCCCATGGAAGCTTGCTGGGTGACCTTGGGCCAGTCACGGCCTCTCAGCTCAGCCTGCCTTGCAGGGCTGTTGTGAGGATAAAATGGAGGAGACGAGAAGGATGTAACCCGTTTTGGGTTCCCATCGAGGAGAAAGGCGGGGTGTAAATGAAATAAAATAAAATATATAAATAAAAATGTGTAATTAAAAAAAAAAAAACTATCCTGCCCTCCCTCTGGGCATTCTGCACTGTATATTTAAATTCACTGAGTTTTGTGTCTCTCTCCACACATACCTGTGTGCTTACCTGGCCACCGTAGGAATTCTGGGAATTGGATGCCTTCGTAGGTAGGTCACTGTTTATTGGTGACTCCTGGACCTCATCCCAGAGACCTACAATTCCCAGAATTCCATGAGAGTATCTCACAGTCAGTTGAACAGGTTTAGATTTGCGCTGTGAGAGAGGGTTGACTAGCAGTCCCTTTGAACATTTTGCACATAATATGGGTGCTACCACATCACATGGTAGGGCATGCCAACCTCCAGTTGGGGCCTGGACATCTCCAGGAATTACACCTGATTTTCAGACTAGATAGAGCAGGTCTCCTGGAGGAAATGGCTGCTTTGGAGGGAGGGATCGATGGCATTGTCACCTGCTGAGACCCCCTCCCCCCCAAACCCCACATTCCCTAGGCTCCACCCCCAAATCGCCAGAATTTTCCCAGCCCGAAGTCAGCGACCGTCCAGGTGAATGTTTCCAATGCAGGACAGAATCCAGAAGAAAAATCGGCCAACAGAAGAGTTACGTATTCACATTCCAAACTGATTTAAACCTTGCATGTGGGGACCCCCCCTCCCCAATTTGGCACTCAAGAAGAAAAGGGTACTGAGATTCGGGCTGCCAAGTTTTCCCCTGACCCCATGCCCTTCCCATGCCTTTATCGGCAACCAGACAGGCAGGAATTAAGCCGGTGAGGTTTTCCCAGTGGCTTTCTCGCTGTTTGGTGTCAGTTTGGTGTAGTGGTTAAGTGCACGGACTCTAATCTGGGAGAACCGGGTTTGATTCCGCACTCCTCCACTTGCACCTGGCTGGATTACCTTGGGCAAGCCGTAGTTCTGATAAGAGCTGTTCTTGAAAAAGAGGAGTTTCTGTCAGAGCTCTCTCAGCCCCGCCCACCTCACAGGGTGTCTGTTGTGGGAAGGGGAAGGGAAAGGAGATTGTAAACCTAATCTGGGAGGATTGGGTTTGATTCCCCACTCCTCCACTTGCACCTGCTGGATGACCTTGGGCAAGCCATAGCTCTGATAAGAGCTGTTCTTGAAAAAGAGCAGTTTCTGTCAGAGCTCTCTCAGCACCGCCCACCTGACAGGGTGTCTGTTGCAGGAAGGGAAAGGAGATTGTAAACCTAATCTGGGAGGATTGGGTTTGATTCCCCACTCCTCCACTTGCACCTGCTGGATGACCTTGGGCAAGCCGTAGCTCTGATAAGAGCTGTCCTTGAAAAAGAGCAGTTTCTGTCAGAGCTCTCTCTGCCCCACCCACCTCACAGGGTGTCTGTTGTGGGGAGGGGAAGGGGAAGGAGTTTGTAAGCTGCTCTGAGACTCCCTTGGGTAGTGAAGGGTAGGATATAAATCCAATCACCGCCTCCTCCTCTTCTTCTCCTCCTCCTTCTTCTTGTCTTTATAACAAGAAAAGGCTGCCCTTCCTAATTTCTGCATCTCAGACAGATGAGTTGATCCAGCTTTTAAAAATGGTTACAGGATTTATGGATAGGGTTGCCAACTCCAAGTTGGGAAATTCCTGGAGATTTGGGAAGTCGAGCCTGGGGAGGGGAGGGATCTCAGTGGGGTCTAATGCCATAGAACCCACCCTCCAAAGCAGCCCTTTTCTCCAGGGGCACAGATCTCCATGGCCCGAAGATCAGTAGTAATTTTGGGAGGTATCTAGGCTGCACCTGGAGGTTGGCGACCCAACTTGATGGAGCCATTGTTGCCGGCATCCATATTGTTTTACTCTCTCTCTCCCTCCCCTCCCTCCCTCCCGCTTTCTAGATGGCAGAGAACGTGCTCACCATCGCGTACGAGAACGGGGTCAACCTCTTTGACACAGCCGAAGTCTACGCTTCTGGCAAGTATGTCCCGCTATTACAACCTCAACTTCTTTTCTGAGAAATGGGCACAGAAGCCGAGGGCACCGGGAAGGACAGCCACTGCTTTCCTGGCAGGTCTTCTGTGCCTTTGGCAGTTCCGCAGCAAGGAGAAGTTCAACAGGGGAAGCTGCACCCTATGAATTTCTGCCCGTCTTGGACCGAAAAGAGAGACCCCCCCTAGATAGACCAAAGGCAGGACCACAAAAAGAGAGCCCTAGATAGTCGAGTTGCCGCATGACGGAGTGAGCTCCCGTCTCTAGTTCCAGCTCCTGCCAACCTAGCAGTTTGAGAGCAAGACATTGCAAGTAGATAAATAGGTACCACTTCGGTGGGAAGGTAACAGCGTTCCGTGTGCCTCGGCGTTTAGTCATGGCGGCCACATGACCACGGAAAGGTCTTCGGACAGCGCTGGCTCTTCGGCTTTGAAACGGAGATGAGCACCGCAACCCTAGAGTCGGACTCGACTGGCTTTCGAGGAAGGGAACCTTTACCTTTTTTTAGATGGTCATTCCTTTGATTCCAGGCTGAATGGCCGGGGCCCCTCAGTCTCAGCTCCTAGGGTCTTCCCTGCATCTTACCCCCCCCCAACACCTGTCAGAGTTCAGCAATAAGGGAAAGGCACTCTGCACATGCTTAGGGTGCTCTCTCCTTTGCTACTTGGTGGCCTTCCTTCCCGCTGTGAGCCCTCTGGAGTCTGTCCCTTGGCTCAGCCTCAGGCCTGCCTGCTGACCAAAGATCAACCCCCCCCCCTCCTGCCCACATACAAGGATGTTCCTCTTGGCTCCCCCATTGAGGGTTGCCAGCCTCCAGGTGGGGCCTGAGGATCTTCAGGAATTCCAACTTACCTCCAGGCTACAGAGACCAGTTCCCCTGGAGGGAACGGCAGCCTCAGACAGCGGGCTCTGTGACATGATACCCCACGGAGGTTCCTCTCTTCTCCCCCACCCCAAACCCTGCCCACCACAAGGCTCTCCCCCAAATCTCCAGGAACTTCCCAACCCGAATTTGACAGCTCTCCCCCCCCCCCCCGCCTCTCCGTCTTTCTAAACATTCCCCTGCCCACCCCCTGTTATTTCTGCCTGCTGGACACTTCCTGGGCAAAATGCTGTCGCAGGACTTTCCAAATTAAAACTCTGCGACATGATTCTGTCAGGCCAGATTTGGTGATCGCTGGAGGGAAGGAAGGAATAAGCAGGATGCCTTCGGCCACAAGGCGATGTCAGTAGTTGGGGGAGTTTGGAAGGAGGGCGAGGGAGGGGCCGAACAGCCCAGAGAGGGTGCAGACGCTGGCAGTCGCAGGATGGTTTGTGTGCCCCGGGCTAAATACAGAGTTCCTCCGGCGCAGGGAGGCCGAGGGGGTGTGATTTCTACAACTGGGGTCTCAAGATACTTGCAGCCAAGAGAGCTCAGCAGAATACTGTAGGCAGGAATGGCGGCGGGGGGGGAGAGGATTCCTTTTCAGTCAAAAATGGAAAATAAGAAAGAAATCACCACAGACGCAAACAAGTTCAAGGCCCATCAGTTTTGCGGAAGCCCTAGGTGGAAAATTTGGCAGAGGCTGCAGCTGAACGGCGTCCCCTGCCAGAGGCTTGTGGCCTTCACGGCGAGAGGGAAACGGCTTTCACTCCCAAAGACACAAACTGCTTAGTGATGTAGTCAGCTGCTGTAGATTTTCCGGGTTGTCTGGCCGTGGCCTTGGCATTGCAGGACCTGACGTTTTGCCAGTAGCTGGCGAAACGTCAGGTCCAATGAAAAAAGGAAAAAGAACGGTGACAATTTAGCGCTTGGTAATATATTCATAAATCATAATATACAATAACAGAAAATAAGTACTATATATAGCGAATGTAGACGGTGGTCTCCGGAATGGTGTGCCGTTTCGACAATGATCCTCTTCCGAACAAGGATGAGTACATAAACTGTCTTTCAACAATTCATTTCTCTTGGTGACGTATTGGGAATATACTGTTGATTCACTTCATCATAAAGCTATGCTTACAGCTGTGTTCTTCAATGGGCTATAATTGCTGAATGCAATTGTCGAAACGGCACACCATTCCGGAGACCACCGTCTACATTCACTATATATATTACTTATTTTCTGTTATTGTATATTATGATTTATGAATATATTACCAAGCGCTAAATTGTCACCGTTCTTTTTCCTTTTTTCATTAAGGGGGGTTTTTTTGGGGGGGGGGGGTTTTCCCCGTCTGGCTTGGCGGAAGGCGTCTGCGGAGGTGCAGGGCCTTTCTTGTGTCCTCATCAGCCCCCCTAATTGACGGGGCCGGAGGCGGAACTGCAGCCTCGATCTGAGCCACTGGATCGATCGGTCGGAGCTTTCCGCCCGACGTTATTTTTACCTTCCCTGCTGTGTTCCTTCTTTCTTCCAGAGCAGAAAAAACCTTGGGGAACATCCTGAAGAGCAAAGGTTGGAGGTAAGCACCCCCCGCCCTGGCATGAAGACCCCCCCCGCCTTGACTCTTCCCCAAATTCAGTGGGAGGTGCTTCCCCTCCCCCCTATTAACCTTCTCTCCCTCTCACCCGTCACAGGCGTTCAAGCTACGTTGTCACCACAAAGATCTACTGGGGAGGCCAGTAAGTACAAAGAGGGCCTAGGGAGGCAGTGACGGGGGGGTACAGAGGGTCTTCTGTGGTGGTGGGGGGGTTACACAGAGTTTGTATGTTGTAAAGGGGAACAGCACGGCTCTGGGTCCCGGGATCCGGTTGTAGGGTGAAGCAGAGGGAGGGGTCAGGCCGCACCTGGAGTCCCGTGGGCAGTTCTGGAGGCCTCACTTCAAAAAGGTTGTGGGCAAAACCGAGAGGGTGCAGAGGAGAGCGACGAGGATGATCAGGGGTCTGAAGACTGAGCCCTACGAGGAAAGGCTGAGGGCCCTGGGAACGTTTAGCTTGCAGAAGAGGAGACTGAGGGGGGACATGATTGCTCTCTGTAAATATTTGAAAAGCTGTCATTGGGAGGAGGGCAAGGAGCCGTTCCAGTTGGCAGCAGAGGAGAGGACCCGAAGCAGCAGGTTTAAATTACATGCAGAAAGGTACCAGCTGGATATTGGGAAACACTTTTTCATGGGTCAGAGTGGTTCAGAGGTGGAATCAGCTGCCTAGGGAGGTGGTGAGCTCCCCTCACTGCACAGCTTTCAAGAAGAGGCTGGACAAATATTTGTCAGGGATGCTTTAGGCTGGTCCTGCACTGGGCAGGGGGGTTGGACTAGATGGCCTGTGTGGCCCCTTCCCACTCTATGATTCTATTTATACCCCATCTTTCTCCCCATTTTGGACGCAAAGTGGCTTTAGCACACCGTTTTCCCCTCCTCCAGGGGAATCCAGGGCCGTCTGTGTACAAAGTCAGGGCTCTGCTAGTGTGCTCGGCGCCCTTTTGACTGCACCAGCAAAGTGCAGGGCCCTAGACAGCGTGTATTTA